CAGCTAGTTATCCCTGACGCATTAAAGCCTTCGGCATTAAAACTTGCGCATGCGTCAAAGATTGCAGGTCACCCGGGAGTGTACAAAACTTACACAAAGGCCAAGTCATTATTTTATTTCCCAGGGTTATTATCACATGTAATTAAGTACGTCAGGTCATGTGGGAACTGTCAACGACGCAAAGGTACTCCTAAAGTACAAGCCCCACTCCAGGAATTCTCAGAGATAACAGAACCCTTGGATCGGGTGGGGGCTGATTTAATTGATTTACATAGTAGCAATTCAGGCAACAGATATGCGCTAGTTCTAGTGGACCATCTGTCCAGGTATACCACTCTAGTAGCCCTTCCCAGGAAAGACCCCCAAACAGTGGCAGATGCATTTTTAGCTAGGTTTGTTACTGTGTTCGGTCCGCCTAAAGTTCTAGTATCTGACAGGGGACAGGAGTTTATTGGTAGTTTATTTCAGGAAGTATGTAAACTCTTAGAGACAACAACAGCGCTAACAACAGCATACCATCCCCAGACGAACGGCATGGTGGAACGAACTAATAGGACGGTGAAGGATATGCTTGCCATTTTAGCAGAGAATGACCCGGCCACTTGGGATGAACAGTTGCCCTTTGTTCAGTTTGCACTAAACACCGCAGTGCACCAGTCAATAAATACTCAACCACTCTTGCTGTTTACTGGACACTCGTGTAATTTTGCGTCAGGTCTGCTTAACAGACATACTATTAGTTATGGAGAGGATTATCCTTCAGAAATCCTCACCAAGATGAAGAATGCATGGAGGATAGCAGCTGAAGCATCAAAGAAAGCAAGGACACGGTATGCCCATTATTATGATAAGCAGGTACAACCATTAAGAGTGAAAGAGGGAAGCCTAGTGATGCGGTTGAATGAGTCAGCGCCCGCCAATCAGAGTAGGAAGTTAGCAGCTAGATGGCGAGGCCCTTATAGAGTTATTAAGAAACTAGGCCCAGTAAATTTCATAATTAAGGGTATATTTGAAGACCAGGTTGAAAGAACCATCCATATAAATAAATTGAAACTTTATGTAGCAAGGGAAGAACTGGAATTACCTTCAGTAATTCCAGTCCCTGAGAGAGTGGAGGGAATGGTTATTCCTGATGCTCAATCGGAGGAGGATGATGACATCCTATCATCCTTACTTAGTAGCCAAGTTAGGCCTGGTCACCCTATGGTCACCAGATCTCGCGCGCACATGAGCGCACAGTAACTGAGTTCAGCTGTCATCTGAGTTATAGGTAGAGGCAAAGAATTGTACTGTAGGTGCTTAGTCAAGAGTGACGTACCTTTACCTACCCTGGAGGAGTTATCTTTCTCAAAACCTCCAGGGCAGATCCAGGTCTCCACCAGACATGAGTTATGAATGTTTCTTTTCCCAGGTCTGCTCACATTGCCACACTGTCGGCCATATCCCATCTCTACAACTGAGGCCAGAGTAGCATGTCACCGCTATTGTCTGGCGGGAACCAGGTTTAGTTCCCGAGGGACAGGACGGGTCACACTACATCACCCCCTCCATCCCTCACCCCCCCACCCTTATTAGTGGTACCTGCCATGGTGGGGGCGGCTACAAGTCAAGGTCACAGCCAACACCTCATCACTTAATGAGGTTATGGAACTGCCAACACTAGCGGTCATCTGGAGGACTGATTCAACATATCAGACGAGACATTAATGAGGTCACCTGCCTTGCTATACAGAACACCGGTGACCGGAAATGAACAGCCAAGAACAACGGAGTGGATTGGGCAACGGTTGCGGGATTACACAAGGTCTTGCCCACTCCTGAGGTTTCTGATGCGCCGAGCAACAAGATGTGAAACTTGGTGGCTACGTAAGAACAGCACGTTCCCTCTAGAGTGTGCATGATACGCCAACGCGGATGCACGATTTGCATCTTGGGCCTACAATCATGTGCATGATGGGATAACGAAGAAAGTCGTAAAGGCCTAGTACGACGTAGCAGAAGAAACACCTGTAAGCGGATGGAACCCAAGAGCTGGAGCCGGGACCCGAGGGTTCTGCCGCCACGCCCACCCCGCCTCAACGAACTGGAGCTGTTCACTCATCAAGCAAGACCTCGTCTGGTGTCAACGTCTCAGTACTCCCAGGAAGGCAACATGTATGCGGCAGGCAGAACATCGCCAGCAGACGTTCAGCAGGCGACAACATCTTACAAGAGGATGGAACCCAGGTACGCCAGAGTTCCCCCTGTGACCGGACAGCAAGTCAATCATCGCTGTCAACACCGACGTCATCGCCTCGTCGACGACCCGGAAGTAGGGACCAGCAGCGCGGATGTACTGCAGATTGTGGACTAGATCAGTGGAAGACTCTAGTCAGGAGGGGAGTGGATCTCTTCTCACAACAACTGAGGCCAGCTGAAGAACATCGTTGGTGAAGAACACGACGCATCGTTGCAGAACTACAGCAAGAATACAGCAATGGGCGAGTCAACAACATCGGGACAACGGACTCGTCGGGAATAAAGACTTTGTTAATTTGTATATACAATATATATGTAATTTTTTTAAGTTCAGAAAACTTGGAGTTCACCGTTACAGAGAAAATAAGTTATGAACGAAAATTTTTGTGTAGACTCTGGTGAACTGGGGAACCAGCGGAAAGATGGTTCCAATATAAATTTAATTGGTCATCATAAATTGTGTTATTTTTTTTCAAATGTTGATTGGTCATCTGAGAGGATTGATGGGCTGCCATGCAGGTATGGTCAGCCTGGATTTTGAGTTACCATGGTAACTGTTATTGTTGAGAGTCTTTATAAATATTTCTCGACTGTGAAATGTATATATTTAGATAGGGTAGCTATTTTTTTTTCGAGGCATGTGCTAGTTCCTTTATGGTCTGGGATAAGAAAAGCCATGTTCGAGTTCCTCGCCCACGGTTTTTCTTAAACCGGGACATTGGGGGATATGTAACAAGAGAGCAGTACATAGTACATGAACATCATAACAGCATGAACAGGCCACGTGGAGGATGAACAACCCACAGGCGCCAGTCAGGCGACGGCAGACAATGTAAAAGTTACACCTCTGTATAAGTTAGCCATAGAGTCAGGTCAACGGTCATCGAATCACAAAGAGGTCAGAATTGATGCCGTCATGGTAATCTTCAGGGATTAACCCCTAAACAACAAATGCAAAACCCTCATGTTCAGCTGAGGAGCAGTAGATCAGGAGAGTCAGTTGAGTGGGCACAGCCCAGTAGGGAGGTGTGTGTGGACTCTGGGAAAGAACATCATCTCCAGGGAAACTGTGGAACAACATACGAGTAAGTACGGCTCTCTTGTACTAAAGCACCTCATTCAGTACCCTTGGCCTCTAGTAGGGAATATAGTTAGGGAGTGTCTTATTTAATTATTTCAAATAAAGTCAGATATTAAGTGTTATTAAATGTGTATTAATGGTTCCTTGCTTTAGTGATATTGGGCCTACCGTCCCCTTTGCCCTAGTGACCTAGTGCTCTTAATTATTCAGTACTCCTCCCCCCGTTCGTCTTCCGTGTTGAGGTATTAGTGTTGGTGTGTCCCGCCTTATTCTTGTGTACACTATAGTTCCCAAGTGGTCAGGATTATTCGAGTGTCAGGCCAGGATCCTTGTACCGTTCAATTGTCCCCTACACCTGTCCTGGTAGGTTACTCCATCTGCAAGACCTACGACTCTCACTCCGGTCCCCTGTCCGGTAACTCAGGGTGGTGGCAGCGTCACTCGGTAACTCATACGATAGGTTGTGACTACGATTATCTCTATCTTTCTGTCTCACTCTCCCTCACTAGTGTCTCACTCTCCCTCGCCCTCACTCGCTCTCGTTCTCCCTCCCTTGCTCTCGTTCTCGCTCTCCTCTCTCTCTCCTCTCGCTCTGCCTCCCTCTTCCTCTCTCTCTCCTTCCTCTGTGTACTGGTTTACGTCTTCGTATGACGGCCCGAGTGTTAACATCTTATATGATCGGTATAGCATCTGTTATTACCATAGAAAGAGCGGAGATTGCACGGTTAGCTCAGTGGTAGTAGCGGAGTGCGCGGTCGAGATAGATACAAGGCGAGGTATTACAATCAGGGTCATTACAGACTGAACCCCACAATTCATTTAGCTAAGCAAGTTACAATCTTGATGAGCTAGTTACAAAATTCAATATAAGTCGTCACATCAACAATGGGTTCGAGATCGACCTCAAGTACAGGTTCTAAATTAAGCAACTGACATATGTGGAGAGCTAGTGTCAAAATTTATATGTTTGTCCTGCACACCGCCCCCCATCCAGTGGGCAGCGGTGGATAGGTTACAGTCACTTAGTTACTACATATAGTTAGCAAACTGGAGATATTTGGTTTAAATTTCTGGTAGCAGATCACTCATGGTAATACATTTTCTTCTTCGCAGAACTTCACCGCTTTTGCTGAGAAAAGCAGTGACTATTTGTGATACTAGCTTTCCACATATATCAGTTGCTTAATTTTAGACACTCTACTTGTGGTCGATCTCGAACCCATTGCTGAAGTGACAATGGGTATTGAATTTTGTATCTAGCTCATCAAAATTGTAACTTGCTTAGCTAAATGAATTGTGGGGTTCAGTCCCTGAGCCCATTATGTGCCTCTGTAACCCTTTCCACTACCGCCCACAAGATGGGTATGGGGTGCATAATAAATGAACTAAACTAACTCTCATAAACCCAATGTACCTTCTTGTAAATAAATAAATAAATAAATAAATAAATAAATAAATAAATAAATAAATAAATAATACTGCAAATTGTACAGGTAATATGCTAGTATTAGCACCATTGGCTTCCTCTAAAATAGCAGGAGCTGCTGAGCTGAGCGGTGAGTAGTAGCGTTTGATCCGTTGTTGTTGGTGGTGTCACTTACGAATTCTGCTGGCAATACTTTATTAAACTTTTAGTAATATACGTTAGCATTGCAGTCAAGGTAAATGACATGCCCTTTTATCAACAACGTTTTTAAGTAACTTAGATCACGGAAAGTTTAAGATAACAAGTTAGCTATCGTCTGTATTACGCAGCATTCACTAACAATGAGCCAACAATTGATGCTTACCAAGTTTAATGGAAGTTATATACCTTTTCAGTTTTAATTCTCATGTTGTCGTCAAGGTGAGTAGTTAAAAAGTGTGGGGAGATAATACTCTGAGCCATCACGAGAGTAATGCAGTTATGGTGTGACTAGGGTCGGCTCCAGTGCTGTGGCTCTCACCCGTACTCTGGTAAATAGGTATATTTACCTATTTACCTTCATGCAAACTGTAAAATACTTTACAGTTTGCATGAAGGTTTTCCTCCCGCTGACAGCACGAGTGGTGATGTTGGTAGGCGCATCAATGTTCAGAATTTAAGTTATCGATATCTTCTATCTGTGTGAGGATCATAAGAAAAAATAGACATATAAATGGAAATGGACTTAGGATGGCAAAGATGAAGGAGATGTTAATGCTTTTTTCTTGTCTAAATAAACATACTTGAACTTGGTGGTATCCAAGTTCAAGTCAGGACGGTACTATATTTCTATAGTACTCATGGTCTCTGACACGAACCCAAGGTTTGTGTCAAAGACCATGTTCTGTCCACTCGTTTGTCCATTTTCATCGTTTTTAACCAGAATAGGGGTTTATTTTCTGGCACTTACCTTTCTGGGTGCCTGTCCTGGCGATGGCAGATATAGAATGTTCCAAAATCACATGTGCATTTCTATAGGCCATTGCTCCTCATGCCTCTCTGAGGGGGGCCAGTTCTGGCTTGTGGTCCTTGGGAGGCCTAGAACTCCACCCACATCGACTGGTGTCAGAGTTAGGGATAATCATATCAGCCTGGATAGCTCTGGGGAGCCTCCGGGACTCAGAATATGGCGTTTCATTACATTCAACGTTTTTTTTTCAAATATGCTTTTTCAAATATTTTATTTTATTTTATTTTATTTTATTTTATTTATGCATATACAAGAATGTACATAAGGAATGTGAGGATACAAATATGGTAATTACAGTCTTGTAAAGCCACTAGCACGCGCAGCGTTTCGGGCAGGTCCTTAATCTAAGAAAATTTTAAGGAGGTACTGTAAATACTTGCAAAAATTATAGACAAAAAAATGATAAGATTACATGAAATGAAAAAAAAAAAAGATGAGAGAAAATTGTAGGTACAGTATATTAAAGCACATACTGTAGGTAGCTAAGATTGATTGCAATGACAGCTTGAATGGTAGTTGACAAAAAATTTGGTAGGCAAATTTGAAATGTTTTGCAGCAACCTTGGGTAATGTGTTAATATTTTAATGGCTTTTCTTACAGGGCATCTTGTTGAAACTTTTATCATCTGATATTGAACTACAGCACTTAAAAATGGCAGATGGCATGCTGCTACTATCCTGGAACAGTCATCATGCAACATTCTGTGATATACTTTCAAGACTTCGAGAAAAGGTTTGATTTTAGATTGTTTTGGGGAATTTAAAGGAGGATTGCATTCTTCTTACCTCTTTGTTTCTGAGTGCAGGATTGAGCTCTAGCTCTTGGACCCTGCTTTTCTAGCCACCAGTTATTTATCTAATGCTTTTAACGTTGTGAATTGAATTTGCCTCTACAACCGTTTACTCAATAACCTTATGCTAAAAGAAAACTTTCTAACATCTCTCTGACATATCTGAATCTCAAGCTTCCATCCATTCCCTCTTGTTCTATTTATTCATTGTGAACAATTCCACTATGTCCGCTCTGTCAGTCCTCCTAAGTATTATGTCTTCCCCACTCTCTCCTCTCTAGCATTGTCAGGTTTAGTTTTTTTTTTTAATTTCTCTTCATGCCTTATTCCTCAAGATTCTGGGATGAGTGTCTGCAAATTCCTGCTCCCTTTCGAACATCCTTTGAAAGACAAAAATATATAGGATATAGTCAATAATACTAGTCGCAGCTTCATGTCATCCTTTGCAGATGATACAAAAATCAGCATAAAAATTGCCACTGTAGAAGACACTGAAAACTACAAGCAGATATAAATAGTCATTGATTGGGCAACTGAAAATAACATGTTTAACGGTGACGAGTACTTAGTCCAGGTACTTATGTATGGTGGAAATGAGGAACTTAAACGAAACACAGGGTACAGGACAAAATTAGACCTACTCCTAAGAAACAATGTAAATTGGATTAATCCGTTCCACACTCCCAAAAGTATTTACTTCAAAATACATTGCATTCATAATACACTCAAATATTTAGTATTATAGTACTGTATGTTCAAGTTATAGCTTACCTTTATTGATGACTCTTGTTGGCATATGGAAGATGGTGATGAGAAGGAGGAGTGTTAGTGTTTGGAAGGGGAGTCCTCTTCCATTATAACATCAGGTAGTGATGACTTCTCTGGGGTACTCTCTCTCCTATGTTTTGCAGGCATACCACTAGGACCTGGTTGTGGCTCACTGCTTGTTTGTCTCACTAAGAACCTTTCCATGGAGACTCGTTTTCCCTACATTGTAACACTTTCTGTAGTGAGGCATCACAGTGTCATTAAAAAGGTTAAGGCTACGGCCTACTGCAGCTTCCTGTGGGTGAGGCGTTTCAACAAAACTTTGCATTTCTTCCCATATTCTACACCACTTCTTAATTAATGAAGAAGGGACATTTTGTACTGCCGCCTCCTTCCCTGAAGAAATTTCCTCGGCTGCCTCTTGTTGCTACTCCTTGTCAAGGGCTAGGAGTTCTTCGGTGGTCAGTTCTTCGCTGTGTTCCTCCACCAACTCAGAACACACAACACTCGTAACTCTCACAACACTATGAATGCCACTTCTTTTCCTAAATTTCTTAAACCATCCCCTGCTCACCTTCAACTCTTCGTATCTGCATCACTCGTTCGAGGGGTTTTCTTTATAATATCTTCATGCAATAGCCTTGCTTTTTTCACAAATGATGTCCTCTGAAACGCTGTCACCCACTAACTCCTTGTGTATCCAAATTAATAACTTTTCAACATCCTCAAGTGTTTGTATTCTTTGTTTCTTGATTGTTGATACGCCTTTTTTGCCACTTTAGCACTCATAATGTCCTTTTTCTTAGCAAGTACACTGCATATCGTTGACATAGATTTGTTGTACTGCCTAGCTAGTTCAACAACCCGTGTACCATTTTCATGTTTACGAATGATCTCTTGTTTTTCCTTGCACGGCCGAACGCCCGGGAAGCGTTCGGCCGTGCGCTCGACATGGTGGCTGTTGGGTAACTGATACCTCCCACGCGATGGTAGCGTGAGCTGGATTTTGTTTACAAAACGGCGGCTCTTTACTATAGCCCCTGGGCAGCATATGGGGGCTCTCTCTACCCCGCGAGCCTTTCAAATCTTGCGCGGTACTCCAATACATCATATGATGTGGAGCGCAAGTTACTGCAAGTCACTCAGCCCATTATATGATGTGTTGTGCACTTAAAGGGTTAAGCTTGGCCTCGGGCTGGGTTTGGGGAGTAGAAGAACTCCCAGAACCCCATCAACCAGGTATCAACCAGGTATGGGTTAAGGGTTAAACATGCCTGAAATTAAGGAAAACCACAATTGTTAATTTTAAACATTTAGATGTTTATAAAAATATTGCTTTTCTGATTTTCATAAGGGACATGCATTTGGATGTAAAAAAAAAAGTTAGTCACAGATATTTTTCTCCAAATGTTTGATTGTGGATATCTTCTTTATTAACACATCTCATTATGGGTTATACCGTACTGTACTATATTTAGAAACTCTGAAAAGTTTTTGTTGTTGTTTTACCAAACGATTTAGGACCAGTGACTTCCCTAGCTACAAGAATTTGCATATTTATAATTGTAGTTGGGTATTTTTGTGTTTGGGTAGACTTATCTATTGAATATGCTTATTGGTAAAACTTCATCTGTTTAACTTTCACTGTATTAGAAAAGTGCTTATTATTTAAGATATAATGTTTGTGATAAACTATTTTAAATTTTTCTACAGGAAAACTTCACAGATGTGACCTTGGCATGTGAAGGAAAATGCTACCCTTTACACAAACTGGTCTTGTCAACTTGTAGTGAATATCTTGAAAAGATTTTTAAAAGCACACCTTGTAAGCATCCTGTAATTGTTCTTCAAGATATCAAATGCAGTGAATTAGAAGCACTAATAAACTATATGTATGTAGGTGAGGTTAATGTGCCTCAGAGCTCCCTCTCTTTGCTGATTAAAGCTGCTGAACTTTTGCAAGTTAAAGGTTTGGCTGTACCTGATGAACCACCTTCAGGAAATAAAATGAAAGTTAATGTTCACAATATGAGTGATGACCGAACTAGTTCACAAATCAAGAGAAGGAAATGTGAGGAGAGCATTACTTACAGTCAAAGAGAATACCCTCAAGTTTCCAGTAATTCCTCCCCGCTCTGCAAGGAGAGGAAACAGACAGAACATTCTAAAATCCAAGTTCAAAATGCAGACCAAGTTATTGACCAGCATCAGACTTCTGAAAAATCTCTCGGATATATTGAGGTAACTTCCTTAGACTTGTACTTTTTTAGAAATTAATGTTTTTTTTTGCTAATCTTAACTGCAAAATTGAAATTTAATACGAAATAATAACAGTAGACAAACTTGCATGAATATGAAAACAAAGGAGAAACAAGTACTGTAATAGCTCAGTAATTTGGATTCCTATAACCCATGTCTCTGAATTAAGCCATGTTCAAGTTTTTCTTTTTTAACCCAAATTAGAATTCAGATTAAAAACATATACTGAACAAGAAACCAGACTAAATTTGAGTTTGAGTTCTTTACTTCACAATTTGAGTAGAAATTCAGGTCCCTTAGATTTTTGTTGAATGAAAACCTGGATAAATTTGAATTTGTTCAATTTTGGACTCTTGGTACTAAGTTTGGCTAACTCGACTAGGGTGGGGCCCAATGTAATTTGGATTACTGAGCATAAACAATACATGTACTACTGTCCGTATATATTTTGGGGTTTGACCAGAGAAACTCATTAATTTTCACATTCATTAGTTTTGTTCGTATGTAAGTCCTCTTGTACCGTTAATTGGTGGAGGTTACTCTTTTATGATTGGATAATAATAGTCATTAATCCTCAGAGTAGAGGTCATCATGTATTTACTACCTGTGTGCAGGACTGAGATGTTATCTCTTAGACCCTGCCTTTCTAACTGTCGGGTTGTCTAATGTACTGATGCCTGACCTATTTTCCTCTATCATATCTTCTACATATATCTTTTATCTAACACAAACACATTCCTAGGCTGCAGCTTGTAGCAGCTATCTAACACTGAGGAGCCTATGTACTGTTAGGTGAATAGAGGCATCAGGTGAAAGAAAATCTGCCTATTTTTTCTGTCTTAGTCGGGAATCAAACCCGAGTCCTTTTGAATACTGTACAATCCCCGAGCACTATCCACTCAGCCATGAGAACCTATGTTGAATGTCCTGTGACATGCAGTCATCATAATATAACACTGTACATTTTATGTTATTGAATACCAAAGTTGTCCATATGGCTCCAATAGCTCATTAGTGTCTTTGAGCAGTCATGGGAAGCCACAAAATAATTTTTTGTCAGGTGTCCTCAAGATTATGGTCTCCCATCATCAAATGACAACTGAAGCTCTTTCCTAGGCCAACATAAGGGTGTTCACTATACATAATTATTTTGGTACTCTTTTTCTAGAGGCTCCTTGGTGGTTCCTTGAAGCTCTTGCTGAGATGGGGAACCCATCTCCCCTCCACCAACCATACTGAATCAAATCAGCCACAGAAATCATATTGGCCTGCAAGGGACCAGAGCTAAAACCTAGCCTCCTCCCAGAGGCACAGGGAGCTGTAAATAGCGCAAGAGAATGTGTGGAGCGAGTGTATGTTCAGCATGTTCAAGGATTTAAACAGAGGGGCTGTGTGTTGTCTGAAGACAAAGGTTGTTATAGTTCTGATAGCAGGTTTTTGCTGGGTGATGATGAGCTTGAGGTGATTTGCAGTGGTTAAACCCAATGCACAGATAGTGAAAAGAGAGCAAAGTTGGGAACATAATATCTGATTTTAGAGAATATACTGACAGGTTTTGAAACATTTTTGGCTATGTGTTGTATGTGGGTGCTGAATTTAGTCTCTTGTCTGTCTATAGACTAAAGCACTTTGCATCATTTTTAATGCTAATGTTAATTATTAACATTGTCTATCTGAAGACGAATTTGGTTTGATTATTTACTTTCAAATCAAATGTAGTAGGTCTTTTCTATGTTTAGTGTGAGCTTATGACTACCCACCAACACCAGAGAAGGATCTAGAAAGTCAACGAATCAATACAAACGACTGCAAGGTTAACAAAACGAAGTACTGAAACAGCCAACCAACCCTGCAAATGATTCACTCAAATCCAGATGGTTCACTTGACTATATCTCAAACCCCCAATTGCACAAAGCACTAACAGGTGGCTCTTTGGGAACTGGCTTCCAGGCCAGCAATGAGTCACTGATGTCAGAGCACTCTGACCTTCCTGAGTCACCATTGCAATTGCGAGTCCCATTTCTTTTCACAGACAAGTGATAGCCATCCTTTGAACTTTTTTCTGTGGAGGCCATCTGCCTGTACAGTGTGTTCTCACTTGTACAAACTATATGGGGTGAAGCCCATTCGTTCCAGTGCGGAATTCGTTCCATCCGTCCGACCCCAAAAACCCTCTTCAAAGAAAATAAAGTAATTAATACATATGCCAGGACACATTTGCATTAGGAAAAATTGCACCTGGCTTACGAAGGGAGTCCTTGCTAGTGCTGGGTGCTGGTCCTGTAGGCCTACTGTGAAACTGCGCCAAAAACTTTTGAATCTTAGTTTGTTTCTTCGTTTGACTTTTCTTCTTTAACTACAATAAATGCAAATTTATATATATATATATATATATATATATATATATATATATATATATATATATATATATATATATATATATATATATATATATATATATATATATATATATATATATATATATATATATATATATATAAACCGAAAAAGTAAGATTCATAATTCTAACACGAATTTGCTCAATATTTCTTATGTTTCTTTTCACTGTCGATGGTAATTGGAAAATCAATTCTCCAAAATTCATTTTTATTTCTAGTCTGACGCGACACTTGAACGCGTTTCGTAATAACTTATTACATTTTCAAAGACTTTAGTTTACACACACACAACTATAACCTGCAAACACTAAACAGAGTTTAAACAGCTTTCATTTTATACCTGCATTTGGGTGAGGTGACATGTTACAACAGTTTTGGATGAGGTGAATACAAACTTTCAACACAAGACAGAACATGAAACAATGGGTATAATATTGGGTAAGTTAAAAGGAAGAATGGAAGTAACTGCAAAGGGCCTATTGGCCCATATTTCTTGATGCTTCTATATTGGTGTGGGGTCTTGAAGTGGGTAGAGTCTTGAAGTGGGTAAAAAGGAATAGGCAGGGTCTCCTTGCCTAAGTAAGAGATTTCCGTAACATATTACATTCAATGCTTTTTTTTTTCCAGGATGCATTTGTTGAAACAGATATTAAAGAAGAGGTATTAGAAGATATAGACACTGATAATGATTTGGGCATAGATGCTTCAGACCCTGGCTTGAACTATCAAACTCATAATTCTTCTTATGAGATGGAAAATGTCAGAACAGAACATGATACAGGAGGCAAATGCAGCATTCCATTAACTGGTGAATATGACAAACAACCTCTCAATCATTCGGAAATGCTGTCACACCCACCTATTGTGTCTGACGTGGCTGTTTCATCAGAGTTGCAAGGGGTAAGTAAAGTTTAGAGTAATTAAAAGGTTAATTTTTTCTGAAAGTTTAACTAGTTAGAAATAATTAATGTTGTTATACCATGTATCCCTTAATGGTTAAGAATTTTTTTTAACAAAGATATGAATGATTTGATTTGTTCAGATGAGATCCAATTATAAATCAATTTTTATTCAGGTAAGGTACATACATACAGGGTAAGATACAAAGTTGATGGATTTATAGATAGAGCTAGTACATACAATGCCCAAAGCCACTATTATGCAAAGCGTTTTGGGCAGAGTCCAATTAAGTCCAACAGGAGTATTCAACTCAAAGCAGTATGCACTTCTAGGTTAATAAGAAGTGTTGAGAGATTTGGTAATAAGTTTTTCAAGGCTGTAATTGTAAGATTAGATACTAAGTATGAGTTCTGAAAGAGGTGATGTGATGCTGAGAGCACCAATTTTTGAGCATATGGCACTAATGTTGTAGGACCGCAGTTGATCCATCCATCCACTTGCCCTCCAATCCTGCCATACCTTCCATTCATCCATCCATTAACACCCCCCCTCCCCTCTCTCACCTGCCCCACCTCCCACACCATCCATCCACTCACCCCTCACTCCCACCTGCCCCACCTTCACCACCTCCCACCTTCACCACCTCCCATCCATCCACTCACCCCACTTCTCACCTGCCCCATCTCCCATTCATCCAGTCACCCTCTTCCCTACCTGCCCCACCTCCCATACACCCACTCACCCTTTCCCCCCACCTGTCCCCAACTCCTAGCCATCTACTCACCCTCACTCCCACCTGTCCCCAACTCCCAGCCATCCACTCACCCTTCCCCCCACCTCCCATACACCCACTCACCCTTCCTCCCACCTCCCATACACCCACTCGCCCTTCCCCCCACCTGTCCCCAACTCCCAGCCATCCACTCACCCTCCCCCTCACCTCCCATACACCCACTCACCCTTCCCCCCACCTCCCATACACCCACTCACCCTTCCCCCCACCTCCCATACACCCACTCGCCCTTCCCCCCCACCTGTCCCCAACTCCTAGCCATCTACTCACCCTCACTCCCACCTGTCCCCAACTCCCAGCCATCCACTCACCCTTCCTCCCACCTCCCATACACCCACTCACCCTTCCTCCCACCTCCCATACACCCACTCACCCTTCCCCCCCACCTGTCCCCAACTCCCAGCCATCTACTCTCATTTCTTCACTTAACCACTGTGCTGTGCCCACTGCAATACCAATGCCAAACACTGGCATTTCTGTCCTGTGTGTCTTGACAGTGCCACATACGCTGGTGTTATGGTCAAGGAGGAATCTGGTCAGTAAGGGGCTGGTATAGTAGTTGTCAGTGTACAGGATATGTCCTTTGTTCAGCAATGATTCCTCAAGTGTTTTCACAACACTGCCAGAGAACTCATGTGGCTCTTGACCTGGTATGTCAGTGTTCCTACCAGAATACAATGTCATGTCCCTGACCATAACAGTTTCACAGTCACATAACATAAACTTAAGTCCAAACCTGTGCCACTTTGATGGTATGCATTGTTTGAACACCAGTCGTCCATTGAGGAGAAATAGCGATTCATCAATCACGACATTCTGTACTATTACAAAATAGTCAAGGAACTTTCCTATCAATTCACTAAATATCATCCGCACTTTCCACAGTCTGTCGTGTCTGTCTTCATTATCATTGTTCTCAAAGTGCAGGCACTTGAGAAGCAGCAGGAACCTATCACATTAGATTTCTGGCACCAGATCTAATGAAAGGTGGTTTTCTTGGCAGATTAGTGATTATTGAGGACATGGTAAAGAATTATGAAGAAAAGGTAATTAAATTGGAATAAGAGAATGAAGGTCTCAAGATCGAGTTTTGCAATTTAAAAGTAAGTATTTTCCAGGAAAGTAAGAAAATTACCAGCTTGACTGATAAGGTAAGGCTACAGGAGGCATACATCAAGAAATTAGTGAAAGATAATGAGGCATGGAAAGTGAAGAGTGGTGAATTTGAAGAAATAAACAAAAAAATACTCATTGTGTATAAATCCAAGGGACCCTGAGGGCTAACAGAGTTAGGTTAGGATATGCAAGGAGAAACTTCATTGACAACTCAGAGGAGGTTAGTAAAGAACTGGGTAAGTATAAAGAAGAAATAAAAGAGATATATGCGCAAGTTGTAAAAGAGAGAGAAATGATTAAGGAAGTGTGTTTGGAAGTCAACACCAGAAATGACCAACAAGAAGCAGAAATTAGGCAACCAATTAGGAAAGAACTGGGTACCAACAGTAAATTGGTACAAAACACTGCAGACAGAAGTATAAGTCCATAATAATCTTCGGGTGTTTAGAAAAGAAAATATCTCGGGTGGACAGTGAAGCAGAAGAGATGAAAATCACAGAGAAAATAGTAGGTTCAGGAGAAGCCCTAAATTCAAAGGAAAAGTCAGAAATTTTAGGAGAATAGGAAAATATGAGAAAGACAAGAACGGCCCCCTACAGGTGACAATTAATGGAGTGAAACATATGACGAAAGTGCTTAGAAATGCCAGGAAATTACAGAGTGATGAGGATGGCAAACCTTGGTCAATAAGACAAGACCTCTCAAAGGTCCCGTGACTCAAAGGTCCCAAAGCTCAAAGTGAGTCCCGGAGGCTCTCCGGCATCCCTCCCTCCCTCCGGTCGGCGTTTTTTTCGCGTTTTTGACATCCAGCCTCAAGAACTAAGGTGTGGGTAGCCAGCGTGGAGGGTTTGGGGCTTCCCCTTCCCCCTCCCGGGGAGGGGGGAGCTGCGCAGACAGCGGCGTGGCGATGTGTGACGTCACACTAGTTTGCTTGTTTTCTGTTGGGGAGTTCTATCGACTAGTTCGGCTTATGGTAGCAATTTTAACCAGAATAGGGGTTTGTTTTGAGGTGCTTACCTTTCTGGGTGCCTGTTCTGGTCGATGGCAGACAATGAATGCTTCCTACCACACAGGGGTTTCTATAGGCCATTGCTCCCCTTGGCTCTCTGAGGGGGCCCGGTTCTGGCTGTGGTCCCCGGTAGGCCTAAGAACTCCATACACATGACTGATGCCAAAGTCTGACATTTGCATATCAGCCTGGGAAAGCTCCGGGGAGCCTCCGGGACTCACCCAGAAAATGACATTTCATTACATTCAACGCTGGTTTTTTATAAATCTAATTATAATAACAATCTTCTTGACTAGTGGATGGCTGAAAGTGCACTTGGAGAAATGACGGGAGTGGAAGGCTTCAATAGCATTGGAGGTCTTGAATCAGCATCTTTAATTACTCACCAGGGAGCACCCTTACAAGAACAGCAGATGGTTAGTGTTATAATCAGATTTACTGTTCAGTATATTCAGTATTGTAGTTAAATTGAAGTCTAAAAGTGATGCCTTTAGGCATCCCTAGTGTAAAAGTGACACCAGGGATGCTTTCCCTGCTGTTAGCTTGCATTTATCTGTTCTTCTCAGGTCATTTTGCCCTCGAGCAGTGCATAATATAAGTTCATCCCTATGGGGACTGTTGATGGGGGGAAGAGAGTCATTGGACTGCATGTTTATGCATGTGAAAGACATGCATATTGTGCTCAGCTGAACTCCTGGTGTGTGATGGGCCTTGCACTTTAAGATGGCATACTTTGGTTGTATGTGTGTTTTTTGTAATTCATAGCTGCTTATGTCCTTCCTTGCCGAGTAGTTAAGTCAAAGGTTATTTTTTGTTTTTTGTTTCAGTAATTACTTAAGTGCAGTTACAGGATGAGAGCTACACTCTGTGTCCCGTTTTCCCGGGACTCATTGTCGTATAATGCTTTGAAACTACTGACGGTTTTGGCCTCAACCATCTTCTCACTTTCCTTGTTCCAACCTTCTTCCACTCTGTTTGCACAAGTACATTTTCTAATATTTTTTTTGGCACCTTTGTTTCCTTAGCTTGAATCTGTGTCCTCTTGTTCGTGAAGTTGTTGGTTTCAAGAATTCTTTTCTGGGGGGAGCCCCTTCAGCTTCCCGGAGATTATTCAGGCTGATATACTAATGTCAGACTTTGGCATCAGCTATGTGTATGGAGTTCTGTGGGCCTACCATGGACCATGAGCCAGTACCTGGCCCCCCTCATAGAGGCATGGGGAGCATTGGCCTATAGACACCCCCGTGTGGTTAGAAGAATTTTGTGTCTGCCATCGACCGGGTCAGGCACCCAGAAAGGTAAGCGTCCCAAAACAAACACCTGTTCTGGTAAAAATTACTACCATAAGCCGAACAAGTGGATAGAACTCCCCAAAAAGAAACAGGCAAACAAGCATTGTCTACATAAATGATCTTCCAGTTGGTATACAGAATTATATGAACATGTTTGCTGATGATGCTAAGATAATAGGAAGGATAAGAAACTTAGATGATTGTCATGCCCTTCAAGAAGACCTGGACAAAATAAGTATATTGAGCACCACTTGGCAAATGGAATTTAATGTTAATAAATGCCATATTATGGAATGTGGAATAGGAGAACATAGACCCCACACAACCTATATATTATGTGAGAAACCTTTAAAGAATTCCGATAAAGAAAGAGATCTAGGGAGGGTTCTAGATACTATCACCTGAGGATCACATAAAGAATATTGTGCGAGGAGCCTATGCCACGCTTTCTAACTTCAGAATTGCTTTTAAATACATGGATGGCGATATACTAAAGAAATTGTTCACGACTTTTGTTAGGCCAAAGCTAGAATATGCAGCGGTTGTGTGGTGCCCATATCTTAAGAAACACATCAACAAACTGGAAAAGGTGCAAAGACATGCTGCTAAGTGGCTCCCAGAACTGAAGGGCAAGAGCTACGAGGAGAGGTTAGAGGCATTAAATATGCCAAAACTAGAAGACAGAAGAAAAAGAGGTGACATTATCACTACGTACAAAAATAGTAACAGGAATCGATGAAAATCGATAGGGAAGATTTCTTGAGACCTGGAACAACATGAACAAGAGGTCATAGATTTAAACTAGCTAATCACAGATGCCGAAGAAATATAAAAAAATTCACTTTCGCAAACAGAGTGGTAGACGGTTGGAACAAGTTAGGTGAGAAGGTGATGGAGGCCAAGAACGTTAGTAGTTTCAAAGCATTATATGACAAAGAGGTTTGAAAAGACGGGACACCATGAGCGTAGCTCTCATCTTGTAACTACACTTAGGTAATTACACACACACATTATACTTGTATGCTTTGAACAATAAAACAGTGTTTTGGCTGTTATTACACATCAAATTTTCCCATAAGAAATAATGTAAATTGAATTAATCCGTTCCACACTTCCAAAAATATTAACTTCAAAATACATTTCATAGATAATGCTCACACATATTTTGTACTATAGTATGTACAAGTTATAGCGTACCGTTATTGATGACTCTTGTTGGCATATGGATGATGATGATGATGGGGGGGGGGGGGGGGATGAGGGAGGAAAAGAGGTGTTAGAGTTTGGAAGGGAAGTCCCCTTTCATTATAACATCAGGCAGTGATGACTTCTCTTGGGTACACTCTCTCCTACATTTTGCAGGCATACCACTAGGACCTGGTTGTGGCTCACTCCTTACTTGTCTTACTAACAATATGTCTAAAGACACTTGTTTTTCCCTACGTTTTAACACTTGCCTGTAATTAGACATCACACAGTGTCATTAAAAAGGTCAATGCAGCAGCCTGCTACAGCTTTATCTGGGTGAATTTTTTTAATCAAACTGTGCAGTTTTTCCCATACTTCACGCATTTTCTTAATGAGGAAGGAACTGCCTCTACTCATAACTAGTTTCTTAGGTTGAACCTTACCACTGACTTTCTTGGGACGCATGGCATGATATATAATTACTTTTATGCTCAAAAAACAAAGAAGCACAAAACTGAAATTCTTTACAAAGAATTCAACTGCGATCGTCAGTAAGCGGGCAGTCTGGCAAACTGAAGCAGGGTCACCCATGCCACCAGGAACCATGTGCTCCGTTGACTCATACGTGTATCAACAAAGTCGTAAGTCGAGTCAAATTTTCCGACGAAATTGAGGTAACTCGAAAAATTCATAAGTAGGGGCATTCGTAAGTTGAGGTTCCACTGTAATTGAATTACTCAGATTAGGAATTTTTTTAATTAATTTTGTCAATAAAGATGTAATTAATAATAATTTACCGCGAACAGGTGGCTTCTTTGAAGGTGTCCCATCTGCATTCCAATTTTAGGTGCCAGTATGAAGCTTCATGGCACTCCTTTCATCACTTCCTGTCCGTTTGTCATTGTTCTTCAGTTTCTGAGCGTGTGGTGAATCCTTTCTTTCTTGGCCTTTTCTTGATTGGCATTCTCGTGCTGAATTCTGTCAACTCGTATTTTGCAGCGCTGGCAGAGCCTTTGCAGCTTGCCTTTGCCATTGACACTACTTTGACCCCATTGTAAGGTACGAGATTGAAAGCTGTACCCTAAAGTATCACTAACAACACCCACTCTTACCTTCTTATAAATAATGGAAGTGCAGGGGTCTATATAGTAATGGTCACCAGTTCTAGCTACATGGGACAAGAAATACACCTTGGGGTACAATTTTACAAAAAGGATTTTATTTAACAAATACCAGATTTCCTCACACTTCTTAGAACAGAGGGGGGGGGGGATGTTACTTGGATCCACCACAGGATTGATACAGACAAAAAAAAGGGGGGGGGGGGAAGGATCCTTCTCCCTCTATAACCTAAGACTTAAGGTCATTGCTTTATTCCACTCCTCATAGGTCACTATAAAGGGCCTGGGTTTACAAATGAATATACAAAATAAATGTGGATAATCTCCCCATGTGACACACAGCTGAGCACATTCATCTGAATTAACAACATACCACTCTCCCTACACACAGGGTTCCAAAAATCCTTATTTCCACAAATTCCTATCCCTAACTCATAAAGAAAAGGGGAAGCACCACTATAAACATCTATAATACTGCACTTATCGTATTTGTTGGAGACCATCCACAACACTGGTCTGGTTGTCACTGCCTCCCTCTCCCAAGTGACTGATAGGGGCTTGCACATGTTGTTGTTGTTGTTGTTTTAGGGGCGACGACGATCGTGGGATCGGATGCACCCCGGCGTACCCGTTAAGGATGAATCGCGAAGCCAGGAAAGGTGAAATGCCAAGCCAAATCGCGAAATGAGTGACGCCAATCACTAGAAACTAATATGCCAAACGGCATATTATTACGGCAAATAAACGCACAAACGGGCAGATGATTAGGGAGCCTCAGGAGTCCCTCAGGGTGACAAGCACCGGCCCCGCCCCACACAGAGAACACCAGGTAGCAAAACCAAAACTCGGCACCCAACCTAAACGCAAAAGTCATCCAGTGTTCTCCGGCAGAGCAGAAGCCAGCCACCCACCACGACTGAGGGCACACCAGGAGCCCACCAAGACCCACCAACCCCAGGAACCTCTCAGCCAAGCCCGCCCTCGAACACCGTCACCCCGCCGGGAGAACCAGCCAGAACACGCCAAAAAAAAACTCAACAATCCTGTGACCCAAGGCGATATGAGCGCCAGACGTCGTACAATCGGACCGTTGAAAAGGGATGCCAAACGGCAGTAGCAAAGCCAAAACGCAAAAAGACGACGTGAATAGGCGGCTCCCAGGCGGAGGAGGTGTCCAGATGTCCGCTCGGCTTCAAGGTTGAACCAGGAGTTGGGGCTTGAACATGTCCCTGCCTGCCTGGTTCCAATAATGTCCCCTCTCTATACATGTCATAAACATTTCCCAATACTGTACTTCATTTATATGTCTTGTAATGTTCCAAGCTGTTTTTCTGCATTTAACACTGATGTTTCTCTATATTTTCTTGTATTAAATCTGCTTTTTCTTAACCATTTTATCCCTTTTGTTTACATTGTTTTTTTTCAGGAGATTACATTTTCCTGTTGAGATGATGCTCTGTGCATCTGAAAGGGGTCAGAGTTCCAGACTGTTTTTTCAACATTTAACACTGCTATTTCTCCCTACACAAGGGTCTCTCTCTTACATAATACACTGCTATTTCTCCCTACACAAGGGTCTCTCTCTTACATAATACACTGCTATTTCTCCCTACACAAGGGTCTCTCTCTTACACCGTTTTACAGGCTGTCTTGTGCTTTGCATGGTCTTTGTACAATGTTCTCTACTTTCTTTACTCTTCTCGTTTTACTGTATCCCCTTTGGTCCATGATTCTTTCTCCAAGGCTTTGTTTTTGGTGTCTTTTGCCTCCTGTTGTTGGATTGGGGAGCTTCATGCTCTCCTCAGGAGGTCTAGT